TTCAATAAAGTGTTGTGTAAACAACATGGAAGTTGTTACCTACCTCCTTTCTAAAATACATATAAAATTTTTTCTTCAAAGATGCCCAGAAGGCCATGTAGAAAAATGTTTTACAAAAAATGCCTAGAAAATAACATCTTCAACTGAGGCAATTTTCTTGAGCCCTTGCCAAGCCGTTTTCATCTACTTCCATCTAACACAGGGACTCCTGCCTCTCCCTAGGCTCAGAACTCTTCCAGGGCTTCCTGATGTTTGATTTTATTTCTCTTCTCCACAGCATTGTGGGCTTTTTCTAACAACATAGATGAGAATAAAAAGAAAGTACACACAGAATATTCTTGATTGGTAGTTGAAAAGAAGTTGCACATTGAAAGCAGTGGATTTTAAACATTTCCTCATGTTCACCTATAATGCCCTTTCAATCCACCCCAATTGCTTGTGTGAATGTCTGGTTTTATTACGCCTTTAGATATGAATATCAAAATCTGACAGCGAAGTACTTGGCTGAAAGCAGTTCATACATTCCTAGCAAAGAGTGAAGCTTCTTAGATTTACAGTCTTATAATTGAATTTCCTTAAGTATTATAAATTATCAACTACCTCTATACTCAATTCCATTGTCTGCTTAAATCAAAGCTAACAAGTATCCTTAGTGGTATAAAAATTTTACAAGTTGAGCCAACTATTCCCACAGTTCTTTCTGTATGCAAGTATGTTTTTTAAAATTAGCATGAAAAGAGTATGTTTTATAAAACATCAAATATGCTAATTAAGATTAACTAATTTCAAATGAGAGAGGCACTTTTTCATTGCTCATAGTAATGTAGAGTCTTGTAGTAGTTCAAAGCAGAGAGTGTATTCTTGAAATACTATGACACCTAATTCTTTAGATGCTGGCCTTGACAGGTTTGAACTTGAAGGCATATAGGCTCTACTTTTAATACTTTAAAATTTACAAAATAAGGCAGTATTTCTATTCACTCATAATACAAAAGATAGATCGCTGTTGATCTATTCAAATGATTGACTGAAAAATGCACTCCACGGTAGACTTCAGTCCGAGACAAATATATCACTCATCACAAGGACTGATAATATTTCTAAATAATAAACAGTTTTCAACCACAGCAGCTTTTAATTCCTACACACAATGATTGAAAATATTATATTCAGGCAGACCTTTTAGAGAATAAATGTCTTTGGGAACAGGCTATATTAATACTTGGTCTAAATCCTGTGAGGATGATCAGGTAATCAGTTTATTTAGCAGCCACCTGAAGAACTTCACAATAAGTTGAGAAGTTGCATTCCCTCCCCACCTTCCTTTTAAAGTTCTCCTTCATTTGAAGAAATTCACCGTGTATACCCTTGTCTCACATTTTAAAACAGTCCAAGGCTACCCAGGTGGCCAAAAATAAATGGCAAACCAGTTGATGTATTCCATCAGTGTAGGTAATCACCTAACTGAAGTAAATCTGTGTAGCTTTATTATGTCTCTCTTTCAACCTGGACTAGAAAGGAATACAGTGGGAGAAGTGGGCATTGCATATGTGTGAGTGTGAGCAACAGCTGCCGAAAGAACCCACAGAACATTCCTG